AACTTTTTTTGCGTCAAATTGAAGGGATAACGTTCGGTTGGAGAAGCTCTCAGCTCGCTCTTTTTTGTCCTTTATCTATTCCCTCTTGCTGACATGATTAAAATAATATAAATGATATTTTTCGCAAAGGACTAAAATGATAGTTTCATTTTAGGATGTGATGACTTTTTGATAATATCACTAATTTTAGCTTTAAAAAGGCTAAAGATAAATAGAAAATTGAGAATTTTTCTCATAAGATCCTGAATATGTTTAATTTTATATTTAAATCCCCAAAATTTGATATCTTGAATTTATAGCATGAAATTTTAAGTTATTTACAAATTAGACATTTCTTGTTTGAATTTAGATCCTCGAAAAGTAGGAAGTTGAGAATAAAAAAAGACGTGCAAGAAAATAATCACTGTTTAGTTTTTAGATCTTTGCTGGTGTAGCCGTGCATAATCCTTTAATTTTTATATAAATCTTATAAACATTACAACAACAACAACAACCAAGCCTTTATCCTAAAGGTTTACGGTGGGCTACGAGAATTCTAATTTTCCATTCTATTTTGTTACGGGTCATTTCCTCCGTTACGTTAGTCTTAATCATATTCTTCTTAATTGCTTTTGATCAAATCATTTTAGGTCGGCCTCTAGATCTCCTAACCCCATTAACTCTAATATTATCCTTTTTTTTTTCTAATCGGTGCACTAATGAGTTTTCTTTGTACATGACCAAACCATTTTAATCTATTCTCTCTCATTTTATCCATTAACATTGTTATAATAAAAATTAGATTGGAAAAAAAGAAAATTTTAAATTGGATTTTTTAATGAAATTTACCATTAACATTGCTATTTGTTTTCTCTTACATGTGCATTGCACATGCAAAGCTGAACTTCAGAAATTTGAAAATACTTTTCAATGTGTAAATATATTTGTACGTATAATTTTATCTTCACCAAAATAAAGGAGTTGATGGTAACTTGGCAGTAGCTTGATGAGAGTGTAGTCGATGACCTTATTTTTAAAACCTTTTGAAGGCGCTCTTTTTGGTACTTTTTAGTAGTAAATAAATTTATATGCAAAAAAAAAAAAAAAATTCATGATATTATTTCGTCTATTATTCCAAGTTTATGATAAACCACTTAAAGTTTGATATCCGTAAAAGCATTAGTTCTTTCTGTATTAACTTTGTGCTACCAAATTTGAAAAATTGAAAGGTTTTTGAGAAGATAATAAGTCGATGAGCCAAAACAAATCCCACGTGATTTTTCTTTAATTATTTGCGTGCGTGTGTAAAATAATTGTTCTACACTTCAATTACACTTCCGAGTAGCAAATACTTCCTTGTACGTCTTAGGAGCAAGCCTTTTATTTTCTTTAATTTATTCTCGTAGGCTAGGATTATAGGATAACTCTAGCCCTAATTAGCTATGCTCCCTAATCCTAATACAGAGGCATAAAGCTGTTCGTAAAGGAAAGTGAGAAACATGAGCAAGTTCCAACGCAAACGATGATGATTCCAGACAAAATGAGTTAAAATGCTTCAAATGCTAATGCTTTGGTCTTCTTCTCTATAAAGTTGCAAATATTCAATTTGATAATTGTCATGTCATTTTAGTTTTCCCAAATTACCTTTGAGCCATGACATTCGAAGAAATAATTGTTGGGAATTTAACGCCTAAACCCCTAATTGCAACAGAAACGCAGTATAGAAAAAGTACACCAAGATTTAACGAGGTTCGGCAACTGCCTACGTCCTCGGGAGCCACACAGATAATTTCTTATTAATCAAACAAGAAATTACAATTTAGGAGCAGATCTCAAAACTGAGATTTCTCAAATAAACACTGTAGCTACAGTGTTAATAGTCAAAGGGTATGAACCCTTTCAATTTCTCTCACTTGAGAATAAATAACCCCACAATTAAAACCCCTCTTTAATTCTCTCTCTCTCTTCTTAAATCCCCCTCAACTAAACTGTTGAAGGCTGGGGATTAATCACAAAATCGCAGCTGCGATTTGGGGGGGGTTTAAAGGTGGGGGCAAACGCCGAGGTGGGGTCGAACGCAGAGTTGGGGGTCGAACGCAGAGCTGGGGTCGAACGCAGAGCTCGGGGAGGCGATCGCACGCGGGGCTCACGTTCGTCGTCGACTTCGCCCGAAGTTCGTTGCCCACGCACGCCTGCAACATCCATGAGCTCGCCGGAGCTCTTCGTCGCCTGAGGTGAGTTTGATCTACACCTTTTCCAACAATCTCCCACTTGGAGATCAAACCGCCGTCAATCAGGCTATCTCATCAAGCTCCTCTCCTGTGTGGCTCCGCCCTCATCATCTATGCATGAAGGCCAACTGAAGTTGCGCACAACTCCAGTTTCTGAACTGTCACCGTCTTTGTTAACATGTCTGCTGGATTCTTACTTCCTGGAATCTTTTCCAGTTTCAACACGTCATCTTCCAACAGGGATCTGATGAAGTGGTACCGAAGCGCAATATGCTTCGTTCTAGAATGAAATGCTGAATTCTTCGCCAAGTGTATCGCACTCTGGCTATCACTGTGCAAAACATTCTTCTCCTGTTTGAATCCCAGCTCTGTTAACAAACCCTGAAGCCATATCATCTCTTTACTGGCTTCAGTCACTGCAACATACTCAGCTTCTGTAGTGGATAGGGTAACGATCTTCTGTACCTGTGACATCCAACTAACAGCTGTAGTTCCGACGGTGAATACATAGCCGGTGGTGCTTCTTCGGTGATCAACTTCACCGCCGAAGTCTGCATCTACGTATCCTTGCACTTCTACCTCTCCCTTACCAAAGTGCAAACACTTCTGTGTGGTGCCTCGTAGATATCTCAGAATCCACTTGACCGCTTCCCAATGAGCTTTTCCTGGATTCGACATAAACCGGCTGACCACTCCCACTGCATGGCCAATATCTGGTCGCGTACAGACCATAGCGTACATCAAGCTTCCGATAGCTGAGGCGTAAGGTACCTGAGCCATACTCTCTTTCTCTTCTTCTGACTGAGGAGACTGATCCTTCGATAAACGAAAATGGCTGGCCAAGGGTGTGCTCACAGGCTTGGCGTCGCCCCTGTTGAATCTCTGCAAAACACGGTTGATGTACTCCGTCTGAGATAACTGCAAGAGACCTCTCTTCTTATCTCTCGTGATTTGCATTCCAAGGATCTTCTTCGCTGGACCCAAGTCCTTCATGTCAAACTCCTTTGACAGCTGCTGCTTCAAACTCTTGATATCTTTCATATCTGCTCCTGCAACCAACATATCATCAACATACAGCAGTAGGATGATATAGCTGGACTGATACCTTTTGAAGTAGCAACAGTGGTCGGCGTTGCACTTCTGGAAACCTTCCTTGTGCATAAAGCCGTCAAACTTTCTGTATCACTGCCTTGGGGCTTGTTTCAGGCCATACAAGCTCTTCTTGAGTCTGCACACCAGGTTCTTCTTCTTTTCTTCTGAGAAACCTTCTGGCTGGTGCATGTATATCTCCTCTTCTAGATCTCCGTGAAGAAACGCCGTCTTCACGTCTAACTGCTCGAGATGAAGATCTTCAATTGCTACAATACTCATCACGGTCCTGATAGTATTTAGCTTCACCACGGGAGCGAAAATATCGGTGTAGTCAATTCCTTCCTTCTGCTGGAAACCTTTGACAACCAGTCGGGCTTTATATCTTCTGGAACCATCCTGCTCCTCTTTCACCCGGTACACCCATTTGTTGTGGAGTGCCTTCTTACCCGTGGGCAACTCAGCTAGTTCCCACGTCTGGTTTGATATGAGAGACTTCATCTCATCTTTCATTGCAAGCTCCCACTTGCTCGCATCTCCACACTGACAAGCTTCATCAAAGCTTTCAGGCTCCCCACCATCTGTCAACAACAGATAGTTCATGTATCTCCTGTTGGGTACAGGAGGACGAGAAGATCTTCTTAATATCGGAGCTGGTACGTCGGGCTCCTGCGCACCATCTTGTCCAAAAGACTTGTTGACTCTCTTTGATCTCCTACTTCTGATTCCTCCCTCATTTCACCCGTAGCTTCTTCATTTTCCTCACTGGTACCATCAATGCCTTCACTCACTGCTTCATCTTCTTCTTTATCATTCCATTCCAAATCAGCCAACATAAACTCTTCATTGCTCTTGTCCCAATCCCAAGACTTGTCCTCCTCGAACACAACATCCCTGCTCACTATTACCTTCTTTGTGATGGGGTTATAAAGACGATATGCCTTGGATTCTTCACTAATGCCCAACAACACACAAGAT